ATTTCTTTCACTATATATGACCATTCAATATTTTTTCTTTAAATTAAATTTATTAGCTATCGATAGAGTTTAAAAAATGCAGAGTTCAGTAATGTCAATGTAGAGTCATTCATTGTTTCTGACAAGAGCTTTCAGTGAAGTCCTTTTCACTCCCCCAGTGTCCATCCCACTCCCTCTACCCTTCCACCAAACTGGCTATGACACAAGCCTCATCAGTCGAAAGCACCTCTTCTACCTCCAAAGCATGAGACCGCCTCCAGGGCAGTATCCGTTGTCTTTAGTCCCAATGAAGGCAGTCCCCTCTACTCACTATTCTCTCTTGTACCAAATGACTTTTGTTGATGCTTGAAAGGAAGGGCTAACCAAGCCTCCTGTGGGCTGGACTCCCAGAAAAAATGATGACCTCTTGCAAAACTCTGTAGAAACTGACTGCAGCCCAGTGCTGAAGGCAATCACTTCTGATCAACCTCAAGGCTTGGACTCTAGCCGCACCCCCTCCACCCCGGACTGTACCAGGGGAGGGCCAGTGCTACCCAAGCAGAAACACTGTGCTAAGGATCTGCCAAGTTGGACGGCAGTACCCGATCTCACATCAGGGGAGGGGCAAGTGCATCTCAAGTTATATAGCTTAAAAGATGCAAAGCTCAAGGCTCAGGGTCCCTTCTCCTGGGTCGGGTCCAGCCCTGGCAAATGCTATTCAGCATGTGATGAGCAGCAGGAGACCCACACACCTGTTACTGCACCTGTCTGCATGAGTTTCCCCAGGACTGCTGCTGGGGCAGCTCTGGTGTATATGTGCTATTTGGTCATCTGCCTTTGTGTGCATGTCAATACTGCTGTATCTGCCTGGGAAGTTCTTCACTTAATCAAACCCATTCTTACATCTCAGCTCAAGGATCACTTTCTTCCAGAGCAGTCCCTGACCTGCCTGATTTGATCAAATCCCCACCACAGACTCACGTGGACCTCTGTACTGTGTTTTATCTTTGATTACTTAATTAACATCCATTAACCCCCAATTAGACTATAAATTTTAGGAGGGCAGAAACCATGTGAACTTTGCTGATCATTACAATCCCATCATTTAACAAAGTGCCACATACACAGAAGGAGATAAAAATATTTGTTGAAGCATATAAATAAACAAATGAATGGTGTTTACCCAGCTCTTACCATGGTGGGCAGTAAGATAAATTTGTTGGGTATAATCTAGACCTCGGGGCTAAGTTTTATGGTAATTGTGAGGTTTCTTGTGATGAATCTCTTCTCAGTTTGAAGTACTGATCCTTTCAGCAAACATATTACTAAACAAAATATGGTCATGTTAAGCGGTTCATATATCATATTCATATATACATACAGATTGCTTTTAAGAAAATTTATCTTTTACATACAGGGAAAATGTCAATGAAATGTTTGATTAAATGACTAACGCAACAAAAATCACTCTTTAGTTGGCTTACTAGAATTTTTTTTTTTTTAACTTTAGAGACTGTACTGTGTAAAGCTTTGCCCAGCTCATCACCTCATTCTAATAGTAAGGTCCAAATTACCGACAAAGATTACACTTAGGATTATAGTCTATTATATTCGCTGTATTGAGAGTCCTAGCTAGTGAACATAAAAGCCTCCTTACCCATTCCTGGTATTCCAGTTACTTTGATAAAACTGACTCATTCCCTACAGGAAGGAATTTGCTGAAATGATACTTTAACAAATGTTTAACAGAATTTCTAGTTTGTAATAAGTTAAATTTAGAAATGACATCAATTTACATTTAATCAAAGATCTAATGAAACAATCTAGTAAGTTTAAACACAGTAGTATCTCTGACAAAGTTGAACTCTACAAAATAATCATCGCTGCTAAGTATGTACAAATCTTTATTTTGTTGCCCATCACGAATCCAATTTGGGCAGTGGTTATGTGAAATTAGGGAAAAATTACCAAGATTAAATTTTGAAGCACTGTTTTAAATGTTAAATATTATCTTCTTCCAAACCTAAGGAATACTAGACAAAAATGAAGACACTTCAAGTCTTGTTCTCAAACCCATAAAAGCCAACAGAACTCACCTCTGACTCTACCTAGGGTAAAACTAGGCTTTATCTTACTTCTTAAAAAATGTTGAACAAGGATCAGTTCTGAATTTGTAACCCCAAAAGCATTTGTTAGTTTATGAAAATGTGGGGTGTTCTCCTTTTCCTGGTTTATCCTAGGGGGATAAACACCATGCTTTCTTCTGTTAGAGTTGAAGGTTCGTGTGCATAATAGTTCCCCATATTAAACAAGTGTTAACACTGCTACCGTGCAAATGGGGATTGCAAAACCATGTTATTACCCTGTCTGGCTTCCGATAACCCAAGAGTGGCCAGAGGAAATTCCCACAGAAAGATGGCTGACAGTATTTACTTTTCTTGCTGAGTTTGATGGAATTAACGAACAGTGGTGTGTCTCTTACTGTAAACACCTAAGCATCTGAAGTCTCCTGTATCAACAACTTCCTGTATCAGCCACTCTCTACAATACAATGCTGACATCCCAAATGTCCATCAGGATGTTTGGGGGAGGGGATGTTGATAAAAAATCAGGGTGAAGGATCCTAAACACACATACACAACACTACATGATTACTGAAAGCAGTTTAACAACTCGCTTCACTCAGCAAGCCTTCTGGTATTCTCAAAAACATGATATATCACCCAAGAAAGAAATGTATTTCTATCTATATAGTTAAGATTTGCAAACAAAGGAACAACTTTTATTTCTAAAAAAACATGCTTTTGTTTTTTAATTAATTTTATTTTATTATGTTAGTCACCATACATTATTACATCATTAGTTTCTGATATAGTGTTCCATGATTCATTGTTTGCGTATAATACCCAGTGCTCCATGCAATACGTGCTGCCCTCCTTAATACCCATCACCGGGCTAACCCATCCCCCCACGCCCCTCCCCTCTAGAACCCTCAGTTTGTTTCTCAGAGTCCATAGTCTCTCATGTATGTTTTTTTTTATATCTAGAATTTTATACCTGGAAAACAACTTCAGAGATCATCTTATCTCACTATCCTCATTTTAAGGAGTTTGGAATATTTGAAAGGAATTATTGATAGTTACATGGTAGATGAGTGACAAAGCTAAGACTAGAGGTCATGTCTCATGGCTGCACCTCAATATTAAGAGATGTTATCTGCCCAAGAGGAAATTTGTTTTACTGGAAACTTAATCTAAATGATGACAGTTCTTAACTCTTAATACTACTTTAATATTTACCAATCTGAAACCCACCCTATCATATAATGGTTGTTAGTGATACTATCACCAATAGATCCAGAAAGAACACTACTCTTTAGGACTACTGCCCGAAAGTGTTTAAGGGCTTGTTGCAAGAAGAAGAAAAAAACTTGGAAAAATGCAGGAGGAAGGCTAGATCTCATTCTATCTTTCTGTTCTGATTTCACAATCAATATTTGCTCATTTGAAAAACTTGCTTGTTCAATTGGAAACTGGCAAAATAAAAAAAAGGATGTCAAGTATCAAACACACCACTCTCAAATTCACTTATCAATGCAGAATTTCTGTAAAAACAATCTTCATAAATCTGTCAGCAAGTATAATACAACAAATGTTGTATTATATACAACAAATATATAATAAATAGAATCACCATAGGCCTTTCCTTCTCTTGTGGGTCAAATACACATGACGTCAAAAAGTGTGTCTGCATCACCCCCTCCACAGCAGCTAACCAAATTACAAGGCTGGTAGCTATTGGTGGGGAGGAGTAAGGACAGCCTTTTCTAGGGGAGGTGGGGTAGTCTCAGATAGAGGAAAGATGCAAAATGGCATGCAGCCCTGGAAACAGTAAGTGTGCTTCTTAAATTAACAACCCGTCTTGGCAAGTGTGAAAAAGCCATTCAATCAAAGGTCTTTTCGGCTTCATTTACACACACAGTTTGAAGTCCATTTTAGTCACACTCTCTGCTAACTGAAAGAGTAAGGGTATCTGCCTCCATCTCCTCTTTGTAGACCCTTGTATAGGAGAGAACCTTTTGCTTTTAGAATTTTTTACCAAATGGTTATTTATTTCTAATTTTAACTAAGGCATTTTCAAAATTCAATACATTATTTTTATACTCGCTTATGGTTTGGAGACAGAGTGTGAGTGGGGAAGAATGAGTACAAACCAGAAAACCCCAACACAAGTGCCCCTGCTTCAATGGCTAAGGGATCAGTATTTCCCAGTCTCACCTATAGATAAAGATAGTTGGAAAATTTGATAATAGTCACGGTCAAGGTCACTCCAACCAAGGAAAGTTTCATCTTTTGATCACATCCTTTTAGGAAATGTACAGATTAATTTTCTCACATTGTCCTAAAAAGGTATTTCAAAAAGAAGGCTTTTGAACGATTTAGGTAAACATAACTACAAAAAAGAAATAAAAGGGTTCTTAACAAGCATATTCTAAAGGACATCAGGAACCTGATAAAAGTTTCTGAGGGTATTCATTAGACCCTAGATTTAAGAGTTTCGTGTTCCTACCTCCTTCCCACCATCAGAAATTTAGATTGCTCTGTGACCGCAAAGAGGGGAGATAGTATAAGAAAAAACAAACTAAAGGGATAACTATCATAGAAACAACAGTATTTTAACTTGAAAACTGGACACTCTGCATGTTATTATGATGTTGTACTCTAACTCCATGGCAATGTAGAGGGAACTGTATTTTTACTTCATGACCAGAGCCAGATAGAGACCTTTAGCAACTCTAAACATGGAAAATCTACTGGGTAGAACCTCCACCTCATAGGTAATTCCAAATGAAAAACAACTTCAAACTATAACACAAAACATACATGTATGCTGAAGTCAAAACAGGGGCTTTTTATGTTGAAAAAAATTTCCCCTAATAAGAATTCTCAAAACACACCAAACTATTAGCACTAAATAAATGTGTGTTTCACATTCTAAATAAAGGGAAAAAAAAAACTCACCCATAAGCAACTCCAGCTATGGTGCACTTCTTAAACTGCATTACATTGCAGGTCAGAGTACCAGTTTTGTCAGAAAATATGTATTTTACCTAAAAAAAAGTTTAAAATTTCTCGTTAAAATTTCAGAAGTCTTTTTATGCCAGTCTCTCACAGAGGGGGAAAATACCCCTTAAAAAAAATTTTTTTTTATCAATCTTGTTATATTATAGGGGCACAATGCCATTAACTGATGATTTTCTTCATATTAAGGAATATGTTCAACTTTTTTTTATTTTAGTACTTTAGCAATGAATCCTTTCATATATGAACAGTAAAGACTATCAAGATGGTTAGAAAAACTGCAGCCATACAGAAATATGCCTTGACATAGTTGGAATTTCCACTAGAAAGTGCCACTACTGTTACTTAACATTTATGGAGCACTAAAACATCTACCAGGATTTCTCAACATAATAATTACAGAATTAGTAATGGCTTGTGCAATCAACTTCATATAACATCCGGATTGGTAAGAAAAAGGATAATTCTGGCCGAAATGTTATTTGAAAAGTAAGAGTTAGCAAATGGCAAAAATACAGAATAAGAATTTTTCCTGAGCTAGTATGTAAATATGGATTACAAAGATACACATATATGTGAATACAGTGTAAATTATGAATCTAAAATTCCTGTTTGATTACTTTCATACTTTGACTTACACAGCATCAGCGATCAAGTTAGTTTTTTCTTCCTTTCTGGTCAAAAGCTATGAGCAATTTTAATACTGAGGGTTTATCACTCAAAAATAGCCAATACTTGACTAGTAATCAGATTATATACTGAAGGAAATCCCTTAGTGCAATACCTTATCTGAGAGCAAAATAGGTTTTACAAGAGGTTTTTAAAACTTCATTTACTAAAAATGATAATTATGTACCAATGTATTTATGATTATTCAAATAATGGAAAATTAGGAGCTGTCAATTCATATGAAGTTGCCACATATGGCAGAAATTACAACGAATCTGACTTCCCATTTAACGTATCAACAAGAAATTCGGTTTACCTGGCCAAGTTCCTCGTTCAGATTAGATGTTCGAGCCATAGCAGCAGTGTCTGTGGGTTCATAGTGCATGTCGAGATCCTTTTTTTTTAAATAAAAGAAATTACTAAATGCAACTGGTAACAAGAGATTACTGAAATTTTATTTAACTAGTGAGCTATAATACGAAACCACTCTCATATCTTGTCATCTTATACCATTTCAGTTGATTTTCCTGAGAAGTACTCGGTATAGAATATTATATTTCACAGTAAGGGCAGGACAGCCTGGCAGTTAGAGCATATCTCTGCAATCAGGCAATCTTGATTTTTCCATGATTCTACCATTTTCTAGATATGTGACCTGTGGTAAGGATTAAATAATGTACACGAAGTGCTTCCTCAAGTGTCTGACACAATATAAAGTACTTAATGTAGCTAAAATAAGAGCAGGTAACATTGCTCAAATAATTAAGATTTTTAAACCCCTAGAAAAAGTACCTAAGAGATTCTATCTGGTTCTACTTTCTTGGCTCAAGTTCCTTCCACTGTATATACTTGAAAGCAGAAGGAGTGCACTTCTCAAAACCCAAACAAAAATGTACAGCTTTTGTATCAATTTGTGCTTGTTTTGTACCCAAACATTATGAGGCTTGACTATTAAGCCTGTAAGAATTAGTATTTTTCATAGTACACCATTCTATTGGCAAGTCAGGGTTTACTGATTTTCACATGTCAAAGGAAAGGACAAATCTGATCTTTCCCACATTTGCATTTCAGACTGATCAGCGTCAGTTCTGAAGAAGGTTGTTGACTTGTAGGTGCCATGTTTTAAGAAGGATATTAAACAACTGAGCAATGTTCAGAGAGGAATGAATGGAACAGGGAGTAAGTTGGAAATCAAGTCTAATAAGGAACAGAAAGAGATGGAGGAAGATGTGATAGAAGAATAGGCATAGTAGCCGAGGTCTTTTTTTGTTTTTGTTTTTTTAAAAAGATTTATTTAGAGAGAGAGTGTACGCGTGCGAGTGGGTGGGGAAGGAGAGAGAGAATCTCAAACAGACTCCGCAATGAGCACGGAGCCCGATGCAGGGCTTGATCTCATGACCCACATGTGATCATGTGAGATCACAACCTGAACTGAAACCAAGAGTGGGATGCTTAACCGACTGAGCCACCCAGGCACCCCCAGCTGAGTTCTAATACTTTGCAAGGCTATCATTCAGAAACACGATTAGACATTTTCATAAAAGATCAGGCAGAACCAGTATCAAAGGGGGGCAGTTATTAATCTCATTTCCACACACAGAAGAGCTGTCTGGTGAGAGGAGAACTGTCAGCAATGTTATAGAATCTCTGTATAATAGAAAGGTGGTTGAAAAGGATAAGCCTGCTGGGTTGCTCCAACACTCAAATTATGTCATTATTTGAAGCAAATATTATTTTTGAAAATCCAAGTAAAAAATAATGAAGTGACTATTTGATTTTCAAAATGAGTCACCTTATGGTTTCTTATTGTAAAGTGGGACACCTCAAAAGGTTTTAATTTTATTTACACAAATTTTATTACATAATTTTTCAGCAACACATTTCCTGCATGAAATAAGCCACAACTGCAGCTCATTTTAGATTTCTAAATTATACTGGTCTTCTACCAATGAATTAGGCAATTTGACAGCTGAGGTGGATCATTTACCATGGGAAGGTAATGAGCAGTGGCAAAAGTATTACCAGTTATATTTTTAAAAATCCTAATATTGTTCACTTGAAAGAGTTTTAAATAACTTAAAAAGATAACATCAAAAGATAATACCAAAATTTCCCAAAATAAAAGAAGAATTAAACTTTCTGGCAGATTAAGTCTGAAGGCTTATTTAATTTACATAAATTCATTAATTTTAACTTTGGTAAAATGAAACAACAACACATTTTATAAACAAAATATTCAGGAAACAGATATCTAGCACATTTTTCCAAGATTAAAAAAAATTTGAGAAGAAAAATATTAAGCATAGCTGAATTTGTTTACAGTGGGGAAAAATAAACTACATAGGTATATAAACCATGACAGACAGCAGTGAATACAGTAGTATTTCTACAGTACTCAATTGTTTAGGAGGCTGTTTGCTATGTTGTGAGATTCCTCTGCTCTATATTACCACCATGAGAAGCTGGTAAAGCATGTTTTATCATTCCTATCTAAAGGCCCAGGAAAATAAGTCTCAAAGAATTCAGGTGGCTTGGCAAAGTTCACACAGCTAGTAAATACAGAACTACAACAATAAACCAGGTATTTTAACTCCAAAGCTCATGGTTCTCCTTTTCCCCAAGACACACTATATAACCCAGAATAGGTTTCCTTAACTGGAGACCTAGTTTCCCAGAATGTCCGGTCTGTAAACTTGTGTGATTCTGAGATAAAGAGTTTTTGCTATTGATTTTTACATGTCAAATGACTTTGTTATAATTATATTAGAGTCAAAAATATTTTGAAATGTCATCTTGCAGTCAATAAAAGGTAAGGTATAATTAAAATTTTGTTTCTGAGAGATCAAAGGACACTATGAGGCGGGGTGCCCGGCTGGTTCAGTTGGCGGAGTGTGCGACTCTTGATCATGGGGTCATGAGTTCTAACCCCACATTGGGTGTAGAGATTACTAAAAAAAAAATTAAGATCTTCAAAGACCCTATCTCCCCGCCAAAAAAGACAAAACATATATTTAGAATGATGAAAAATAATAATTCATATTTACCCAATTTATGAAGTATGCCTGGGTAAATTTCACCACTTCTAATGTAACCAACAAGCTGATAGGAATGAGATTGTTGAAAAGGATGATGAAGGTCAAGAAATTCAGTCCAAAATTATTAGCACCACCATCTGTTGGGGGAGGTGGGAAGAAAGTCATTTGTAGTTTTATAGATTTCATTTGCATTGACCAGAACTTTAGCCTAAAAAAATTTTACATATTATACAACATGTCTAGATAGTTCGGGAGGAACACTGTGCTGATAGCATAACCTTATTCTCAAATACATTGAGGATGGAGCAGCACTTTCTGTGTTCCGTATGTTGTTAGTACTATTAAGAACCTATTTTGGCTTATTAAGAACGAAGGAAAGCACTGCTCAGTATTTCAAATCCTGTTCCAAACAGGAAGTTTGGGACAGTTTTGTGGGTTTATAAATGTAAACTCTCCATTGGGCAAAATCACTGTTATGTAAATTCTTAAAAAGCACTTCTGATTTAAAGCATGCCTTAAAAGCAATCAAACAAAACAGCAGCAAAACTAACCCAAATAGCAAAAACAATGTAGGGCTGTACCCTAGGCAAATTATACCCTTCCTCTTCAATAATGAAAATAGAACCACTATGGCAGACACACTGTAAAGTATCTGAAGAAACAAACTAATGGGAGTCCTAACAGTTCTAATGTTGAGATAGTAAATCAATGTAAAAAAAAGTTGGGGTAGCCACAAACTAAATCAATATGATAAAAACTGAAAAAAAATCAATTTTGCTACAAGGTTTACTAGAATTTGCTTTCACGCTTTTGGAAATTAAGTATTTATTGGTTAAGTACTCAGGGCACGTATTGCATGGAGCACTGGGTGTTACACGCAAACAATGAATCATGGAACACTGCATCAAAAACTAATGATGTGCTGTATGGTGATTAACATAATAAAATAAAATTTAAAAAAAAGGCAATGCAAACTTATTTTCCAGAAATATTCAGGGATGGTACATCCCCACCATAGTAAAAGGATAGATAGTCCAAAAAGAACCTATTTAATTGGATTTTCCCTAAGACAAGATGACCATTAACATGGAATTTACTGCATTCATGAGTTCAAATGAAAGTACAGTAAATTTAAACATTTTACCAGCATGTGCTTTAAATATAATCAATCTGCTTTATTCACTGGTAGCTATCTAACCGCTTGTATTAAAATATTTTTAAAGAACAAATAACATTCACAAAAATAATATTAATAACCTATCATTTTATACTACTCTAGAGTAATCATTATATTTTTAAGGATTCTGAAATTTTAGAGACTAACAACATTTTACTTTCTTTTACTGGAAATTGCATTGAAAAATAAAATTAAATGCCCAGTTATTGTGGCAATAAGGTTTTCTTTTTAGGAATTATAGGAAATCCCATCAGCCGTGAAACAAATACATGTTTTAATGAAAGAAAAAATAAATACCATAGGCACTTTAATGCTTACAGTTTAGGTTGAGATACCAGTCCTTCCCAGAATGCCTCCGATTCCAAATGGCTGAGCCCACAGAACAGATAAGAGACATGGCAATTAAGATACAAAATAAAATCAAAATTTGTACATTTGTAATCCGTTCCACATTTGAGAGTTTAAGTGGTGGACTTGTTGAATTCTGTAAAAAGAAAGAAGATGAACAATAAAAAATGTGTACAAATCGATTTAGTAATGTGTATTTGGTATTTTGATGAAGATGACAAAGTCAGTCACAACTCAAAATCTAGACATGGGTAGGCACCTGAAAATCGTACAGGAAAAAAATCACAGATGTCATAAGCTGTCAAATGTTAACCACCTTTTTTTTTTTTTTCCTAAAGGCCACTATACCACCAAGCCTTTTTCTAGGATGTAAAACAATAATAAGAAGAGAAGGAAATAATACTTTTAGAGACATAACTTTTGCTTGTGGCAGGAAGATGAACAAGGCATTACTTGACTACTTAAGCAAAGAGGATAGATGAATTTAACAGCTCAGCTCAGGAAGAGAGACAGAGGAGGTGGCCTACGCACCCATAACCAGAGACCTGGAAGTTCCAAAGTAGGCTTAAAGGATCTCTGGTTTCCAGATTTCTGGTGGCATTCAGTAACAGCAACAATCTAAGTAGTCCTGGCTATAAAGAATAACAGAAGTAAGTTTCCTTAGCTGTGGTTAATGATAAAAGCGATCATGCTACATCACTGCTAACCAAGGCATCCATGGGACAGAAAATTAAACATCATCATAGATATAAAATAATGGTTTACAGAATTTATAAAATGGTTAAGGGTAGAATCATTATGGTTAGGGTAGAATCATTAATAGCAGTCCCATATGCCTGTCAATAATGTCTCCATGACTTTACAGTTTCCAAAGTTATCAGACCTTAAAGCAGATTTTCATTTAGTATCTTAAAATAGTTTTGCCCACCCATCTAACCCCTGAACACTCATGATATTATGACAGAGAAGAAGCATCCTCAGGCACGTGTAAACATTACAAGTGCTAAGACTAAAGCTGATTAGAAATGGCTTAACATAAAAATGCTACCAAAAAAGGGTCAACATTTGGCTCACAAATTCTTCTTTTATTTTTTTAATTTTGTTTTAAAGATTTCATTTATTTATTTGACAGAGAGAGACAGCAAGAGAGGGAACACAAGCAGGGGGAGTGGGAGAGGGAGAAGCAGACTTCCTGCCAAGCAGGGAGCCCGATTCAGGGCTCCATCCCAGGACCCTGGGATCATGACCTGAGCTGAAGGCAGATGCTTAACGACTGAGCCACCCAGGCGCCCCCCCTTCTTTTAATTTTACGAAAAAATGAAAACAGTTCTAAAATTTGATCACTGTATTAAAATAAAATTATAAGACAAACACTTTAATGTAGAGCACTCATAGCATATAGACAACTAGTATCTACCACTGCAATGGTGAGTAAATGTTGCCAGAGGACCGATACAAAAAATCATTAAGAGTTCATGCAGTGTTGATCTCTGATGAAACTTTCCCATATTCTTGCATGCATGAGCCATTTTATGGCCCCAAACACTGAAGAACGAGATTCTGAATGTACAGAGTGGGGCTCTGAAATCTGTGACAGATGGTCTGCTATGTTTGGGACTACTGCATAGAGAGCTACAAATAGTGCATTTTCAAGAGAATAGGTCCACAAGGTTTTCATAGATAAAAAATCCCACCTGCATCAGCTTGGTGTCATGTCCAGTGTAGACAACTATTCCATGAACCCACTGTGTATTTCTCAACTGGGCGCCTCGAAGAAGAATCTGATCTGCTCCCAGGGGGACAGTGCTATGATAGATGATGTTGACATTAGAAACAACATTTTCCAAAATGCTTAAGAATTCTATGGCTACTACATAGTTCCAATGAAGGTTCTGCTATTAAAATAGCCCTTCTCACATTTACTTTATTTTTAGAAAAGAAGTAATTTTCCTACCAGTAAGAATAATATTTTTTTTACACAAGGACAGCTAGAGGGAAGCATTTCGGTTGCTTCTCCCTAGCACCCAACCAGCCATTTCCTACAACTTCACAATCCAAGATAGTAGGCAATGTTTTGGAATTCAGAGGCTAATTTTCAAACCTATTTAAGACTTATCCTGATTTAGTAAGTCTGTTTAGGTTTCTGAGATGTTTGGAAGTGGTGAGGTTAGGGGATCTGCTCCCCCTCCCACACCTAATTAAAAATAGCTTTGTGCATAATAAAGGTTCAAAAAATAGACAAGGCAAGGTAAATACACAGATCTCATCATACATTTACATTGCCATCCCCACCCTACAGACATAAATCCTGTATTTAAAATCTCTAGGGTAATTTTTTGTATTTGAATTTCAATTCTCCAAGAACTGTGAATAAGTTTCTAATCAATGATAAGCATCTAACAAGTCTTAAACTTTCTTCTGAAATGACAGCAAATTGAGGATACCCATCCCATTTCATTTAAACCACATTTTTTCATGAATAAAGGCCAAATTGGGTCTTTTGTGGGTTCTTGGTAAAACTACCCACTATGGTAGGTTGTTGGTTGACACAACCTCACACAGAGATATCAGAACAGTACAAGTTATCACAGATATAGTGGGATTCTTGATGGAAATGTACTATACAAGATGTAACAGTTCAAGGATTCCTATCACTATGTCTTCATTTTAGTATAAAAAAAGCAAGAAAGAAATGTCAAATATAAAGAAAAATACATTAAAAAAAAAAAAACTTCTGGAAAAAGAAGGAAACCTCCTAAGAAAAGTCTCCAGAGAACACAGAACTTCTTGGCCAGTAGAGACAAAGTGAGGTTGAATCTTTCATTTTTGGGGGGCTTTTATGGTCTGGTAGGTGTCTAAAGCTAGTAGTGGCTTGGGCCTTGGACCTTCTTTCAGGAGCTATGCAAGGGTCACTGGCTCAAGTGAAATCAATCCAGATGGGTGGGTAATAACAGCACCTGAAGGCCTCTACTTAGAGAAACCCTTAGGAAACAGTGTATGTCAATTTAGAAAAAGAATCCAGCGTCTATAATTCTCATTCTTTCTGTAGAAGAGCATGCCTTTCAGACCCATCTGGAAGGGAACCCCTCTTGTGTATATCTCAAGATTTGGGGTGCACTTCAGAGTTGGGAGGGAACCTTAGGTCTAAAGCACATTTCCAAGAAGTTCTTGGGAAGCTGCTAGATTATGCTCTGGGGTACATATGTGCCAACTGTCCCTCACATATACAATGGGGTCTAATAGGACAACTGTCACCTCAGCATTTGTGGTGTGGATTGATTGGAATTAGGTACAAACTCCTCAAAAGCAAAACAAAAACAAAAACAAAAAACTTTTCAATTGTAAGGACTCAACAAGAATTAGTTATTAGATTTCATCAGAGTTGGAATTCCAAAAATTCTGGCATTAGACAATGACTCTCATCCTTAATAATGGAATCAAAGAACACTCATTCCAAACAAAGGGGTTCCAAGAGCTCTGGGTAATCACTGTAAACATCAAATGTGCTACAAATACAAGGTACGTTTCCACCTTTCATATATTTTAAAGCATATTATATAAATTCTATTTGTACCCTAAATCTTGGCATGATCATACAAAGTTTCTCTTCCACTGTGTGGATTTGCTTGGCATTGATTTTGATGGGGAACTGATAAGAAATGGAACTGGGCCAGTTAGGAATGTCAGACTCTAGAAACATTACTTATATAAAGGGCCAACTCTATTATTAGTCTACAACATATGTTCACTTTGTGAGGTCACTCTGTGCAAATTTTAGAACAATATATAATTACTTCACAAATTACAGGAAAGTTTTTGGTGGATCAGAATGACGATGACAGTTTAGGGTATATTTCAAATGTCCTTTAGAATCCAAATACTGTAATAATGCAATTACAAAATAATGAAAGCACTGACAATCTCTCAGGCTGGTGGAAGGAACTAGTGCATTTAGCTGTCCACTACATCTACCTGGTAGGTAAGGTATATTGTAAAGTAGAGGAGTCGGGGGGGGGGAAGGGAAGGGAGGAAGAAGAGGGAGATTGGAAAGACCCCCACCCTTCCTGCCAAGTGCTACTCCATTTCTGCTCCCTTTTGCAACAAAGCTCCTCAGAAAATCTGTCTCACCCTGGTATTTTCCACCCTATCCACTATCTCAGACTTACTTCCTCAGGCTCCACCAGTTCTAACCAAGCTCAAGGATTTCTACTTGCTAAATCCAACTGTTAATTCTCAGCCTCACTGCACTTGACCAGCAGCAACATCTGACCCACTTTAGTCACTCCCTCTGCCTTGGTAGAGTTTCCTCACTCTACCTTGGCTGCCTTCCTACCAACCTGATTTTGGTTTCTTTGGCTGGTCCCTCTTCTTCTCAGCCTTAATGTTGCAGAGTCTTAGGACAGTCCTTGGGACTCCTTACCTTTCTATCCATACCCCTTCACCCTCAGTGATTTCATCTACTTCCATGGCTTTAATTATCTATGCCAACTATTCCCAAATCTGTCTCATGACCCAGGTCTCTATCCCAAACTTCAGGCTTACATATTTATCTGCCTCCCTGACACAAACTTATTAAGTCCAAAACTGAACTGCTGGTATCCCCCCTAAGCCCTCTAATGGATCCCCATTTCATTCAGAGTAACACCCTACAACAGCCTTCAAAGCTTTGCATGGTCTTTCTTTTATTACTCTTTCTTGGTGACTCCACTCCAACCATGCTGGCCTCCATGAAATTCCATAACTACTCCAGGTGCTTTCCCACTTTAAGATGATATAATAATCTAACTAATAATTGGCACTATTCCTTCTGTCTCCCTTCAGATATGTGAACGGCTAACTTCCTCACTTCCTACTCACCTGGCTCAAGTGTTACCTCCTGAATGAGGCTTACTTAACAATCCTAACTCAAAGTGATTCCCTCCCAAGGACTCCCAATCTGCCTTGTCCTGTGCTATTTTTTTTCCAAAGCATTTATCAGTCTCTAACAGAGTATAAAATTTTCTTATTTATCATTTTATTGTTTGTCTGTTTGCCCTTCCCTTACTGCAAGAAAGTAAGCTCACAGAGGCAGGTCTATCTACCTCTTTTGTTTGTTGCAATCTCCTTAACACCTGTAACTAGCTTAGTCCACTAGGTGTTTAATACTGGTTGAATCAATGAGGGAAGAGGCAGGAAAGAGAAGTGGGAAGGGAAGAAGAGCAGGAATCAGGTGATGGTAAAGATAAATACAATTGATAACACGGCCTAGAAAGGAGCATATGAAATGATACAGAGAAGAAGACAAGAAATTATCCAGTACAATAAACTCCTTGGGGGTAGAGTCTAAACTCCTTGAAGCACCTGTAGATCACAGGTAAGGACCCAAGCCATGGAGACTGCAGATAGGCCTATAACATAAGGATTCTGGCCAAAGAATAAGCTACTAAACAATGTGCCAGAATCCTGGAATGTCCCTGAAAACAGGACAATTGTTTGGCAGGAATCCTGAGGAAGTCTTCAGCTGTACCAAATGCATAGTGTTGAGAGCTAACATTTCTGCAAAAAGACTCTTGTTGGAAAGTAATATAGAAATGCTTAAGAAAGATGCTTTGAGCATTCAAACTTAGAGCATGAGAAAAGAATATGTACTCAGGCTTGGAAAACACTCAGCAATACACTTGAGACACAGTGAGTTCTGTGTTTTTATGAAAATTTACCAATTTTACGTACCTGTGTCCATCAAGCCTTATGTTTCCAACAAAATCGTACAGATGTCTGTTTGGACTTTCACACTCGATTCTGCCAGAAATTCTCATCAAACTGTCAATGTCTTTTATATCTGATGTTGCTGGTAAGCCCTGTTTAGAAATTTTCAAATAAGCAAAAGATTAACTGAGTTGCATGTGGGAGTGAGGGAGGGGGGATTCTGAATTCATCTAGGCCTTAAGATCTAAGAGATCCCACTATTTTATAAGCAAGTCTCCCCCCTTATACAATACTCTTTGCCAAATCATAGTTAAGGGGATACCTTCCTCTCTGCTTGAACACAAGAGTAGGGCAGCTTTCGTGAAAGTTTGAAAACATATTTGAGACTATAAACTTGTCTGCAAAGATATTTTGAAGTCCTCAAAGAACTGTTTGTTTCCAAAAATAAAATTAATATTTAGCACTATAGTCTGTCTGCTGAATCTCAAAAAAGGGAATGCAAAATAAATAGAATCTATGTCCAAAGAAGAGTCAGTATGTTTCTGTTCTTTCAGTCCACAGAGAAGGAAAACTCAGAAATGGTTCTTCCTTCTGGCCAACTAGATTCTACTAGCTGGAAGTAGACAGGCCCCTGTTTCCCAGGGCCCTCTGAGTTCAGGTGCTACGATGACCTGTTTCTACCACATCCCAACCTTCCCACTGTTATTTCCATCATTCACCTAGAACCCAAGAGAGTACATTTTTTAAAGTCCCTTTAAATGACTGTTGCTTTCTGTCAGGGATGGTATGTGAAGCAAATATAGAAATCTAAAACTATTCCCTGAGATTAGTGAGACTTTTAGAACAAGCAATGGAAACTCTGTCTTTTCAATATGGCAAAGCCAAACCATGATTTGGTCCAGGGGAATAGGGAAAATAAAAAGTGAACCCCTGTCAAAGCACTCAGAACTATTAGTATTATTACCACTGTTGGCTATTACATCAAATATTAAAAATATTACAAATAGTATCTAGATGATGGACCACAGTTAATCAGTCAAGTAAATCTGAGTCTTCCATTATACTTGATGTATCCTCATAGTGGCTCAATGAGAAAGTATTTGCAATTAGAGAGAATTACTTCAAGACAATAACAGAAATAAAGCTCTTGATTCCATGTAATAAATCAGCAAACCTGAATTAGATCTTACCTGCCTAATTTTCAGGTTTGTTTCACCATCTAAGTTGGATGTTTCAATGTAGCACATGGCCTGGGGCTCGCTGTTGTTTAAAATTGAAAAGCAAAAGATTTAGTGGGGGAAGGAAAACATAATAACTAATTTAAATGCTTAGACTCACTGAAACCTGTTGTTCTAACCAAAGCTCTAGCCATCTAGTTTCTTGATGATTTTCATTCTAACTGCTAAATGCTGGGAGGCAGAACCCATGCATAACAATCCATGGATCAGCTTTTCAGCTAGAACGACCAAAAAGCAATTTCCTGACAATCAGTACTGATCTTCAAGATAATGTAAATGATTAGACCTGCCATAGGATACTTAAATTGCTCATCCATAGACACAACACAGGCTGTATCTGAAATGTAAAGTAGTTTGTGTCCAGATTTATCTTCAGCTCAAAAATATCAAGTGAGATTTCATGCTTGTAGTCCATGTATAAATTGGTTAAGGAAAGTGTTTGATTAGCAAACTCCAGATTGCTGCTTCCGCAAACTTGCCTTTACTACCTTTTAAAAAAAGATGAATAGAATGCTACGAATCATATTTACATTTTAAGGCTACTTTAAAAAACTGTATGAGCAGATTTTAAAATGAAAGTAGATAAACACTCTTCTCCCTCTGTTTTCTTTTTTCTGCTCCTGTTCTATTTAAGGTCATTTCAGAGATTCTCATGGGAGAAACTAAAGCAAGCCAACTTGGCTATGTTGCTCCTTGACCAGAACCTAGAAGATCCACTTCATGAGGCCCCACCAGAGTGTTTTTGGGAAGTGTGGTGAGCAGCAGATGGTGGCAGGGGTCTGTGTACCCTGGACTGTTTATATCCTTCCCCTTCACAAACTGACTTTACATGCCCAGCAATTAAGGACAGGTGAATTTGCCATCTACTTGTATAATCGGATCCTCGAGTATCAGAAGTGTTCTGGAGTGATGTCAATCTCATGAACACGTGGTTATACAGTAAACCTAATTAACATCATATAAGTAACTCCAAATGTAATCTCAGATTAGCATATGTCTTCAAAGTTAGAAACTATTTTGTCAGTTCTAAACACCTGCAATCTTCTAATCAACTTTCAATTTGTACATGTGTAAAACAGACTAATCCTAAGTTTCAGAAATGGGCATGTGGCTTAGTTGTGTGGCCTGCAGATTTGTGAAAATTGCTGAAACATATGGTCACTGATCAAATATTTTACAGATTCATTTTAAAGTCACTTGGCAAGTTCTTCAATTTACTCTATGGACTTTTTTTTTTCCCCTCCCATAAAGCCTGATACTTTTTTCCCAACTGAAGAAGTTTTTTAATATTTGTATTTTCATTCTGTCACTTATTCAACATTTTGCTCTTTATTACTGTCACAATAGTAATCTGGCTCTGGTAACTGTTACTAATTTGTAATTTATTCATGTATACATTTGAAACATAAATGGTTTATGAAATTATAAAACATATCTTCTGATAATATAGAAGCACAATGACAAGCAAATGCTAAGTGAACAATGCAGATTCTATATTTTGGCAGTAAAATGCGTTAAAATACTACTGATCAATATATCCAAAGCCATTCTCACATTAAAATGAGACTAACATTCCTTTTTTTTTTTTTCCCCACAAAGCAATTCTTCTGGGACTTTAAATGGCTAGGAAGTTAAGAAGTCAAATGGCTGACTTCTATCTGAAGTGGGGCCAATAAAAGGCATCCAAATTCAGAACATTCTTAATCCTTTAAGACAGCTGTTACTGAAGCAGTTCTTAATAGTGCTATGAAAAAGCAGCAAGAGGTTTTACATAAGGAGTCATGCTAGGTAATAAATATTTCAGCAAATTATGGTGACATCCAAAACGCAAACCACAGTCAGAAAGGCAAGGCAGGCTTTTTGATTAGTAAGTGGAAAAATGAAACAAGATGCATATCACAATACAGACACCAGTAGACAGCTGAACTTTATCACAGTAACATGCACTTTGTCACTAGTTACAAGTGGGATAAAACGGATCCCAAAGCATGCAGTACAAAATGTACAACATCCAGCTTTGTGCAGGGGGTCCTCTGTAAACCCTATATAAGCCCAAATTACAGTCATAATTGCTGAAGGGATTCTATAAGACTTATAGAAAATTTCAAATATAAGAATAAGACAAAATTTCTCAATAACTTCATTTCATGAAAAGCTTCACACTGTTCAAAACAGTATCCTGGAGAGGTATTATATTCAGCCTTAGTATTTAGGCATGTTGTTAAATACGAATATATGTTAATGATGTATAGGAAATTAAAATCTACCTTTACAGTCATGCCTAATAGACTCCTATTGATAACAATAGGAGCTGAATCTGCCCCCTTGAGGGACAAACAGCATTCAACACTGTATTCATAAAAGGCCTTTAAAATGTCTATCTCCAAGAAGTATAAAAAATTTTGTGTTTTAAAGGAAGAGACATTGAACTCAACCATCTTTGGGTGTAATTGTACTCTGTTGTAGGGTGAGGATCCACATACACACATCCTGTACGACTCAGTGGTTCTAACCTTGAGGACAGGCTGATGAGATCTGCTGGGAGATGTTCCCCATTGGTCACTTTCACTATTTCCCCTACTGCCACCTACAGGTCCCAGTTTAAAATAATTAAAATGGAAAAAAAATGAAAAACAGAAAAAAGAAAAACCAAACAAATGGACAAAAGAGACAGAAAGTTTGAAATTATTATAGAAAATAATACATGTTAATAAAAATGTCTAATGCCAATTTTTTCAAAATTTATTTTGATCAGGTCTAAAGGCACAAGAAAACATGATATAGTCAAGGATTATTTGCTTTTAAGCCCAATTTTCAAAAGTTTATTCACAAGACTCTCTTACCAAATAAAAACATGATTTTATATAGAGAGCTACTTATTTTATAGATTTTCCTTTCTCCAATTCCTCACTCTCATGCCATCTACTCCTACCCAAGAAGGAAAGAATTGTGGAAACCATGTTTTAGGCTTTTGAGAAACCAAGGATACTGTACTAGTCCTCCCTGCCTCCACCCACACACTAAGAAAAAGACAAGTATTAGAAATTTTCTGATTCCAAAACATTTTCAAAGTTAACTGTATACATATCATTAACTTTAATGCAAAGCTATAAAGATATGGATCTTAGGATGTTAGAAGGCATAATTGCAGCCTTTTGAGTTGTTCAATAATTAACAAAGTCTTGGTGATGCATTGTCTTAGAAGGGTAAGCCTTTGAATCCAGGGAAAGTTTTTCAGAGGCTTATGAAACAGACATGCCAGGAACCTGTGTGGACCTGGATTAACAGCTTGAGTTATTTTACTCGGTTTTTATACTTTCTAAACTCATATATGTATTTGTTTGTTATATACTAAAATCTCAGTTTCTTCACGTCAAAGTGAAAACCAATGAAACACACTAACTTTCAACAATGTTCATGCGTTAATTTCAAACTACCTCGAAGAAGGTGCACTGTAATTAATAATTGAAAAATATTTGGAAATGAAAATATTATAAACTGTTGCTTATGCTTACTGTTAAGTGGTGCTCACCTGCAGGTGAAAATCACCATGTCCTTATTTTGATAGGGGACAGTGTGGCATAATGAAGGATTAGATTAGGGATTAAGTATCTCAACCTTGACCTAGTCATCAGCTAAAGTTAAATGGCAAAAAATAAGACTTAAAGTCGAGATTCCACTTTCTGTTAAATGAGGACAAAAGCTTCTACCTATTTGTTTGTTTGTTTTTGTTAAGAAGGCTCCATGACCAGTGTGGAGCCCAACGGAGAGCTCCAACTCTCAACCATGAGATTAAGACCTAAACTGAGATTTTGGACGATTAACCAACTGAGTTACCCAGGCATCCCAAAACTTCTACCTATTTCATAAGGCTAATGCAGGTTCACAAGAGTAATGCAAAACCTTTTGAGAAAAAAACCAAACAAACCTGAAAGGTGGTATTTTGCCAATGGGATAGAAATATGTAACGGTAGAGGCTTTATACTTTAAATGCTACTAAGTAACTAAATGCACTGAATCAGATAATCTTTTAAAAAATAATAATCTTTGAAGCAAGTTAATCTCTGTGGATTCTATATTAAGCTATAGAAACTATTGTGGCATCTGGCCAACTCAGTAGGTGGAGTGTGCAACTCTTGATCTTGATGTTGTGAGTTTGAGCCCCACTTTGGAATTAGAGATTACTTAACAGTAACATCTCAAAAAACAAAAAAAGATATAGACACTATTTTGATCTACCCTATTTATAGCTACGCTACAATATCTATAAGCCACCAGTGAATGTTTTTAATGTTGAGAAAATAACTCCTATAAAAATGCTCTAAACTTTAAGAAATTTGAGCATTGAGCTTTCTGGGAGTTTTTGGGGTTGGATAGAGGGAGATGAAAAATATTTTTTAAAACTTTCAATTCAGAATTAAGTATAAAGTCAGGGCAATGTAGTCAACTATCTCCATACTTTTAAGCATATAAAAAATAAATACTGTAATGGTTCACATACATGATACTCTCTATGATGTTATGTCTCTATGACAGGTTTAATCAGGAAAACATCATTACTTTCTTAAATTGCTGGAGTGCTTCACAATCATTTTGAACTTTGTCATGGGACATTTAGATGGTCAGTCATCTACTACATTTATCAACCTTTTACTTAGTACCACCAAGTACACATCGTTCTGTTGGCTAGGCATTCTTAAAACTTAAAAGATTACTGAATTTAATAAAAAAGAGAATCAGGAAATATTAGAGCTTGATCATTTACTCCATCTTCCACATTTTAAAAGATGTGAAATCAAGACCTGAGATTAAGTACTTTGTTCAAAATCATGAAGCCAGGATAAGAAGAACCCTGGTTTTCTGTCTTCTCCTGAGCTTTCTCTAGTACCTGATGTGAGACAATGATAGTAAGTTCACTGTTAAGGTCATTCTCACACAGCCATGTGTGGACCTAGTACCTGATGTGAGACAATGATAGTAAGTTCACTGTTAAGGTCATTCTCACACAGCCATGTGTGGACCAGCACCTCTAGATAACTCTTATTTGCTCAGTTAAGTTTCACTAACTTGTTATAAATCCAATCAGTTTAAATAATGACCTGATTAAACAGATTTTGAAAAAAGGACACTGTCCATAATTATATGTGGATTTTACAAATAAAACTGTCCAAGGAAATGATGATAAACAACCTCTAAGATATTAAAAAAAAAACAGTTTTTCTTAATTTATATTAGGACTAGTTTTACAGTTTTTAAACCCCAAACCATTTGAAAATCACATTCTTTAAAGGGTAACAGTGCCATATGTTCTGAATACTAATTCATGACTCTCGTAAAGGTGAATAAAACAAAAATTATCTAAAATTCTGTCTTAGAACTTAAAAGAGCAAAATAATTGTTTTTTTGGTTGGAAGAGTATGGCATTTCAAAAGGTATGATGACAAAAAAAGAAATCATTCATCCATTTTCTTGTACTAATGCACCATAAAGATCAAGGAACTTTGGAGGAATATATGAATGCATCATAAAGAAATTTATCATGAACAAGGATTGTAAGATAAAATGAACAGAACCCAATTCATGTATTATATAATAGAAATGACAGGAAATCTTAGGAGTTAGTGGTCCACAGAAAAGTCTCTGGACATATCCAGAGAGAGTAGACTCCTAACTGTAATTATAACTTGAATTACACAGTATAGGACCTATCACTTATTCTATATGGCAAACATGAAAGAGTCCTTTAAGTCCAATCGATTTTTTTTAATGTTTCATTCAAAATCATTAGAGAGGTTTTAAATTCTTCGTTTATTCCTTATTTCCTTGGAGAAATCACAAGGTCAATGCAGGGTAGAGAAACCATCCTCTACACTGTTTGAGCATCAGTAGGTATCTCTACCTTGATGAGAGAAGTACAGTGTCAGCAGGTATATACTCTTTGCCTTTTATTATAACTATATCTCCAACATTTACCTGAAAGAAAACTGGGAATCGGTTAATTATCTGCATTGAAAGATAGTTACAAATATACAACCCACTGTATTTAAGCATAGAATACAGTAAAAAATGGTTACTGGCAAACAAGAACCACTTATCTACACAAAATGGCATAAAATTATCTAGGAGTGAGGCCAAGGATGGGGCAGTCCTTTAAGTTATGAACACTGTATCTTTGTTTTTATCAACTACATGACTTCTCTTAATAAATTCATCCATTTTATCCACTTAATTGACATCTCAACTTCTCAGATTCTCTCTCTATGACATAAAAATAAAAAGGAGGAATTTACCCAGTGCGATTTTTACCCTATTTAAGGAAATCTCAATGTAACCAGAAAAACCAACTTTCATACATATGATCATTACTCCTCATGATGACCTTAGGAAATAGGTGTTAGTTATAATTCATAATTTAGGGAGGAAGAAATGAATCTTAGCTTCTATTTGCCTAAGATCACAGTGACTGGAAGAGCTTATACTCAAACCTCTATCTGACTGTCTGCAAAGCCTGATTGTGCATAAGTAAATATAGTAAAATAACACTGTATCTTAAATAAAAATTAAAAAAAACTAAAATGCTAAATCTTTTCCTAGTTTTGCTACTTGTTAGCGTTCTTGTGAGCACGGCCTAAAGACAAAGATAAAATAAGGCCAGAAACTTTTTAGGAGCAATTCAAGTGATAGGCTTGTCACAGAGCTTTTAGCAAACAATATGACTCCAACTAAGTAACGACTTGACCCAGTTACACTGTAACCACTCCCATTACAACATGAAAGTGCCCTCTCAGCAGGCAAATAAATCTACATAAGTTTCAATACTTAATCAAGAGAAGAAAAGCCTTTTGTTGTTGTTGTTAAAGCCTTTTTGTTCTTTCCTCTCCTTACTTTTCCCTGAACCCCAAAATAACACTTTACTGGGGGGAAGGAGAGAACTGTGTCCTCAGTGGGAATCACGATAAAAAAAATTATGTCAAAGGCAGCCCACTGTGGTCTACTTTATACACCTTGGGGAGGAACGTTGGGGAAGGTTGGAGGAGGTCTTCTAATCTATGGTGTGTATGTTGGTTATGGAAGCTCTGATTACAAAGAGGTTTTAGCTGAAATCTGGATGATTTGAAATTGACAAATTTCCAGGGACCTTGGAATTATACATCCCCTCCCTTGAAAAAGTGCAAATTGGGAAATTAAAAAAACCACCACCACCACCCAGCAAATACAGGTGTAAACTGGACTTTAATGTGTTGGGATAGTCCTCTGACAGCACCCGGGATCAAGAAGTATCAGGTCACTGGAACATTTAGAGAGTGCTGCCCAGGCTACCACTTAAATGTTCTTTAATCTCTTGTGTGGTGATGTTTGTTCTCCAATTAGACCAGATGCTTCATAAAACTGGGATATTTGTCTGCATTATAGTGGAAGAGTTTACCGGTTCGACTTAAAAAATCCTGAATTGATCGTACTGCTTTCCCACATCTTTATTCATTCTTAAGACAAAAGCAAGGCTTGTAGTCATTAAACTGAAGATGAAAACAAACCATTAGCACCTTATAAGGTATAATGTCCTGACTCAGTGGCCTGGGAAAACCAAGGGCTCACTAAGAGCTAAAGTAGTTCTTGCAGTAGTATGAGGAGAGCAGAGAACTTACTTGCTCCTTGCTTAAGATACCTAGGTTTTAGATCACTTCCCAAACATATCCAAGCACCTCTCTTTCTTTTTTCCGTTCTGAGCTCCTAATGTGGCATTCACCTCTTCAGCCTGGTTTGTGCATAAGAGTAACAGACAGAAATAACAGACAAAAGTCAAGATGGCAAAAATTCCTTGACCACATATTCTCAGTGGAGGAACAACCCAACAAAGCAGCTTTAGGACCCCAAATACTGAGGTTAAGGAGATATTTAGGGCTTTAGGCTACTACCAGGAGCCTTCTCAAGTCACATTAGTACCGACAACTGAGGATTATGTAAAAGGGTAAACTTATCAAATGGTAAGAGACTGATTTAAAATCTTTGTTTCAATTGTAGGCCCCGGCATATTTATATTTTTACTAAGGAATTTTTGGTGATATAAATTCTTAATCCAAAGAAATACATTTCAGGGTGCAAACCTCATGCATTAAAGCAGCTTTAGAGACTTGCAAACAACCTACCACTCCATGCTTCCCTACAAAGCCAGGACATTTAGGATTCCTCCTAAATTCTCCACTCGCAACTATCTCCAAAGCCTGGGAACAGTCTCAGCAGCATCTCACCTTGAAGAACTGGACTTTGTGGTAAGGGCAATGAAGACGGTAGCTGGCTTGTCAAGAGTGGAGATGCAGTGCCTTGTATGGGGCTTTGTAATTGCAATACTTTCTTTGAAAAGCAGACACTGGCAATTTAACCTTATACAACAGAGAAACGGCTTCAAACGGCAAAACTGGAAGGATCTGAACTGTTCATGCCTGAGAGCTGAAGTCAGCTCATCTGTGAATGGCTGGATGTACCCTGCGCAAATTTGCAGGTCTTCTGAGGACCCTTAAAAGGTGGCCACAGTAGCCACATGTTGAGAAAAACAAAGAAAGCAATTCCTGAACTAAAGCCCATTTGCACTACGGTTTATCGTATTACCTTGGCATAAGGATCAGACTCTTGGGTTTGGTTTATTGATTTTATTTTTAATTGCACAAAATAGGACACAAGCTAAAGAAAAGCCCTGCCCCACAATCTGGCTAACCTAACAAGCAAGCCTGCTTTCATGCCTGTCCACTTAGTGTCCAAGAAACCATTTTTACATAGCTGATGTCTTAGTGTACATGGCTCTGTTCTTTTCACCTATGATTATATTTTATGACACAGGAACCTTCATATGTCTTGCTTGCTGCTGTGAGTTCCCTGCTTGGCACCTATACTCAATACATATTTGTTGAATGAATGGTATAAAATTTTTCAGTGATGCCACAGTATTTGAAATTATAGCTTTTATGTATCACAAAATATGCCAGAATGTAGAACATCATCTTTTAGAAAATGCTTTCCCTATTGTTGGATATCCACATAGGCTAACTTTTCAGTATTATAAATAATGTTACAGTAAACATTTTTTTATACATGTACAGGTTTTTCCCCCTACATTATGATTATCTTCTTGGGATAAATTCCCAGAATCCCCTTTTTATGGTTCTCAGTATGGAGACCTAAACTGCTAATCCACATTAGCATGTGAATGAAATAGTTCATAAAAACAAAAATTCTCAAGTATAAGTAAAATATAAATATAGCCAATGAGACATTAATATTGTTTGAATTTGCCACTTTCATTACTGGGTTGAATATTATACTGAGTCTGGTTGCTTATTATAGATTTTCTTGCTTACTGCCAACCTTTATTTCCTATTTATATAACAGCAGTTTCAATCTTTTGTCATACTTGGTACAACTATTTTCCATATGGTGTCTACTTATTTGTGGTAATTTTTGTTGTGTATTTGTTTTAAATTTTATATGATCAAATTCCGGAGACCTTGGGATCTTGCTCTTCTCCAAATATTTATTGAAGTCTTTATTCTATTTGTAGGCTTTTCAAAAATAATGTTTTAACATTTAACTTTGAGCCAGTTGGAATTTATTTTAGCATGGGATGTGACTTAGATATAAACTGCATTATTTCCTGAAACTGTGAATCTGTGATCCCAACATCATTTATTAAATCATTCTTTTATCAATGATTTTCTCTCTTTTATCACATGTTAAATGGGCTTTATTTCAGGGCTTCCCTTTCTTCCCTTTCTTCCATTCTATGTTTACTCTATTCATCCATGTCTGTTTTTGTAACAGATCCACACAATTTTAATAACTTTTGCTCTCTATTTTACTCATCCCTGCACATAGCTCATTTTTCCAAAATATTCTATTTTTTCAACTGTTTATTTTTGAAATTAAGATGAATAATTTAGTCAACTCTTGAGAAAAATAATAATTTCCCTGGGATTATATCAATACTTTGGAACAACTGATATTTTTAGTTTTTCTAGGAATAGGACATATTTGCCCACTTACGTGAATCTTGAACACCTCAAGTTTTGATGTTTTCTTTACAAAGGTCATATACATATTTTAAATTTATTTGTAAGCATCTCAAATGCCACAAGGAAAGAGATCTTTCACTGTATTTTTCTAACTTGATATTGCCTGCAAGGAATGCTGTTAATTTTGAATATTTATCTTGAATTCATCACTGAACCAACTTTTATTATTCTAGTTAATTAAGTATCTAATTCAAACTGTTAAGCAACATCAGCTCATTTTGGTTGGGTGACTTTTGGTAACACTTTAAATTTTATCCCTCTGCCTCTTGAAGTGGGATGCCCAGGTAAGTAAGGTGTGGCATTGATCTTCAAGACCACTTAGAATACGAGGATTATGGGTAATCATGGGCTGGTAATATTTTTTGTCTGTGAAAAATTGGAAGAGTTACAGTAATCCACTCAATCTTGAAATAATGAAAAAAAAGACATTAGGAAAATAAGATGTTCTAACAAGTTAATTTCAGAGTGAAGTTTTGGATGCTTATCTCCTGACTTTGCTTATTTTCTGAACAAGCACTCTGGGTAAGATGGTAAGAAACGGATCTATCAATTTATTAGGATATGTGTTTATGCTAATTACCCAAACAAACCTACTCAGTGAAACACATTTGTAATACAATTTATCATACTTGATTGTATCCTACCAGTCTTCTAAAATGTTTAAATCCACAAGTGCCAAAGAAGAGCATAAAGGAATCTTTTTTTGAAACAGTTTTTTGAGCTTTCTCATTTTTTACCTTGCTTCACAGAAATAAGGAAAGCACAATCAAGGTATTTTCCTCTTTGTTACTTTTATGTCAAAGCCCAGAGAGAGAGAGTAGTGAGTTTACAAATATCCAGAAAGGGAGATGTCAATCTCGATTTGGCCAGTGATTTAAAATCAACAAACATGCAATTAACTGAGAGGGAATCCTATTCCCTGCAGGGATACAAGGTAACTATGTACATCACAGGGTAGAATTAAGGGCATGGCCTTTAACCTGCTAGGAAATACTGGAGGGCAAGTACACTGACTGTGTCACACCTCCGAGGTTCTCAGCAATCTCAGAAAACAAAATCCCTCAGGGAGAGTGGCCTTGCCTCCAAAAGTCTCACCAAGTCACAAATATTCGCCTGTGAATGACCAGAGTTAATGGTCTTCCAGAACTAAGGGAGAACTAGTAACAATTGCTTACCTTTTGAAACTGAGGTCTGCAAAGCCCCTAGATAACACTTGTGAAATTATGACTCAGCTCACTAACCACGTTACACATCCTACGAGGATATTAATCTCTTGATATTATGAAACTGATTTCCCCGCTCATTAGAAAATGATGTTTAGTTAGTAAGCTTTTTTTTTTTTTTAAAGGAATTAGCAGGGTGTAGTCATAATACATGAATTTGAAATCAAATTTGCAAATGAAATATTAGAACTCTGATTTTTATTTTTACTTGGACAGTAGATGATTAAAGCGAAAAGTTTCAACACAAAACAGTTCATGGTTAAATGAAAACAATACTCAAAATTATACTATGAAAAACAAAGAGTTCCAAATATTACTTTTTAAGTCTTTCTAGTAAATTGCAGAATTATTAAATGGAAGTGACTAACTGGAAGAATCCATGTATGTTTACATTAATTACTAAATAGCTTTCATATTGGAATTGACATTTGTTCATATTATATACAAAAATTACATCTCTTAGAGTACACATCTATGCAATTCTTCTGGAACAAAATAAAAATCAATGCATACCTTTTCCCAGTGCACAATTTCCCAAGCACCATTTCTCAAAACTGGAAAGAGAAAAGGTGACATTTTTAACATTTTTACTACTTCCCAAAAGCCTGCTTCCGAGGAAATGATCATTTTAAGTGGCTAGCCTCAAAAAAATTAACTAGCAACAATTTTTACAGGTTTAAAAATTAATTATGACTGCAAAGATGTATAAAATTATACAAAGAATTAGAAACAACCTAATGCACATTTTAGATCCCACAATGAAACATTACTAACAGAGGGTAATCTCATTGGTGCTACAAGAGCTTTCTTCAGTACATAGAAGAATTATAGGCCACAGCTGGCGGAGAAAGCCACAAAAATGATGTGAAAAGGAAGTGACAAGCTTAAAAAACATCTCAGAAGCCATAACAGTAGCAATGTTAAAAAAAAAAAAAAAGGATTTACAAGCACAGGAGAAATAGATTTCAAATTGGTTAGTAGTAACAACACATAAACAGATAAGGAATCTGCACCTTTAGTTTTAGAATAATGCAAAATTGCAGAAGTTTCCATGTTTGGTTTATGGAGAAGAAATGAAAGAAGAGGATTACTATTAAATTATGATAGAAGGATCTTTTGTTAGTGTTTTATCACTGAGTCACAGCAGTAAAGTTGCTCAGTACACCTTTTTTCCCTTCCCTACTAGGGTGTCTGTGGCATAATACTGAATATACCAATAGACACTAAAAGATAAAATAAATGATAAAGACAATAACGTGAGGTAGAAAGCACAGCACTTAGCATTTAAGAAAAGGAATAAGTCAAGTTTGGTCCACAAATTATCCTGACAGTAAATTTCATCGGGGCAAAGCTAGTATTTGCTCTGTTTAATACTACATTCCCTGGAAACAGCATGGTCCCTGGCACAAAGTAGCTACTCAGTAAATATTTGCAGGATGAATAATTTATAGGTATAAAACATTAGATTCAGTTTCTTTTGATATTAGAAAAGTTGAAGTCTGAGCCCTTTGAAGTCAATTACAATGATAATTATCTCCAAAATGTTAAATAGCAAATCTAACATTAATGACATACCACCTGGTCCTGTGGTCAGTATTATAAATTATTTTAATGTAAATGCAATCTTTTTGTTTCGAAATTCTTGAACACAGACAGGGCTGTGTCTTATTCATTTTCCCACAGAACCTCAATATCAAAACTCCTAGCACCGAATACACTCCAGTGCTTGTTAACCAAATGAATAAGTGCAACAATGAATATCCTACAGTGAGTTTTGGAGAATCAACTTCATTAAGTTAAAAAAAGAATAACTCCAAGTTGGAGCACTAACACTAAAATATTTCCAATACAATATCTCTACCTATAGCTTTTACTTTAAAGTTTACAATTTTTACAGTATCATACAGTAATGGGTCAAGGATCAGAACCATAGGCATCCAAAAGTGACCAGTATATTCTAATACACAAAACTCTAATCCCTGCAGAGTTTACCAAACTGATCCCAGGAATAAACCTGCTCTTTGATGTTGTTCCCTGACCATGAGAGGGTCAGGGTATGAGAAAAGAGTAAAAAGCCCTGGGTTTAGATGTCGTCTGTCACTGCTTAGCAGTGTCTTCCTCAAAAGTAGTTGTTATAAAGAATAAATGAGAGCACTCTGCCCTTTAATGGCTTACCCCAGTAGCTATAATACAGTAAGTACTCAACAAAGACAGCTAGCCAAGTGCTGCTCTGGTTGACCATAACCAAGATGAACCGACAGTATAAATAATGGTGCTAAAATCTGCAGTACTCTAAATTAGAAGAATACTGTTCAATAGTAGCTAGAGCCCTTCACTGCCATTTATTTTCTTCTGATTCTATCTCGTATTAGTAAACACTCCCCCCAATTGCAACACTTAACTTTTTAAAAACTCAGGGTCCAGTATTTCTACAACTGAGATTTGGCATGAAAACGAAGACGTCAGCTTATCCGGAAAGCTCAGAAGGTCAGTCATTTCCTGCCTGTGCCTGGAGCAGAGAGGGGTGGCCGCCTCTTTCCAGGGGGCTCACTGTTTTATCACCACATTCATGGTTTCCTGCTGCTTCACTCCCAGCCTACTTCCCTTATTTAGGGCAACTGTCTGGCTCACGCTTCGGAGGTTTTCTTTTGTTAATTGAGGCATAACAAATTGTACAGATCTTAAATGTTTTGTTCAGTGAGTTTTGAAAATTGTAAACACTTGTGACTCCACCACTCACAACAAGATATAAAATTCCAAAAAGATCCCACACGCTCCTTTAAAATCCATCCCTCCATTCTCAGAGGCAGATATAAATTAGTTACCATAGATTAGTCTTGCATTTCATATATACTGACTCACACAGTATGTATCTGAGATTCTGTTTGTAAGTGATGAATCACTAAATTCTACACCTGAAACTAATATTACACTGTATGTTAACTGGAATTTAAATAAAAATTTGAGGGAAAAAAATACACATATTTCTCCTTAAAGTAAAAAAAAACAAAACAAAACTTGACTTTTCCCAATTAAATTAACATGGTGCTATAGTAATACATTTCTAGACTCTATTTATTTTATTGATCACTTTGCATATTGTCACATCAGTATATACCATCTTGATTATTCTAACTTTATGGTAAGTTTTGAAATTAGGTAAGTCCTCCACTTCGTACTTTTAAAATACTGTTTCAACTATTCTAGGTTCTTTGCATTTCTATATAAATTTTAGAGTCAAATCATTAATTTTTGTGATTTGGGATTTTGATTTGGGGTGAATCTTTCAATTCGTGAACAAGCTGTATCTCTGCATTTATTTACATCTTCATTAATTGCTCTCAGATATATGTTTAACTTTCATAATTTTCTCTCAGATTCCCATTTACAGTGGATGGGTCTTTCACTAGATTTATTTACTGATATTTGATAACTTTTTCTTATATTTTAAATAGTATTTTTACTCCATTCCCCACTGGTTATTGGTAGTATTTAGAAATGGATTAAACTTGGGCGCCTGGGTGGCTCAGTTGGTTAAGCGACTGCCTTCGGCTCAGGTCATGATCCTGGGGTCCCGGGATCGAGTCCCGCATCGGGCTCCCTGCTCAGCGGGGAGTCTGCTTCTCCCTCTGACCCTCTTCCCTCTCGTGCTCTCTCTCATTCTCTCTCTCTCAAATAAATAAATAAAATCTTTAAAAAAAAAAAAAAGAAATGGATTAAACTCTCATACAATGACCTTGTTATCTTATAATTTTGTTAAATTCATTTATTAGTTTGGGTAGGGTTTTCTTGTTTCTGTAGCAATGTACTTCCTAAGGAACTTAAATTCCTCTCATTAATGATGCTGTATTGTGATTTGGAGTGGCTATATTAGGCTCATATGCCTCACTGTTAATCTCTTTACTTTTTACACTCTCCTGCAAAAAAATTTTTTTTGAAAATCAGGAACAATTTTTTTAAAGATTTTATTTATTTGAGAGAGAGAGAGAAAAAACATGAGCAGGGGGAAGAGCAGAGGGAGAGAGAAGCAGGCTTCCCAATGAGCAGGGAGCCCAACGTGGGGCTCCATCCCAGGATCCTGGGATTATGACCTGAGCCGAGGGCAGGTGCTTAACTGACTGAGCCACCCAGGTGCCCCAGAAAATCAGGAATAATTTTTACTACTAAAAATGTCCTGTTGGGCGCCTGGGTGGCTCAGATGGTTAAGCATCTGCCTTCGGCTCAGGTCATGATCCCAGGGTCCTGGGATCGAGTCCCACATCGGGCTCCCTCCTCCTTGGGAGCCTGCTTCTCCCTCTGCTTCTCCCTCTCTCTCTCTCCCTCTCTCTCTCTCCCTCTCTCTCTCTCCTCCTCTGTCTCTCATAAATAAATAAAAAAAAAAAAATCAAAAAAATCTAAAAATGTCCTGTTGATTTTATGCCCCAAGCATCTCAAATTCTGTCAAATTATAACTCCTCCACCATCACCAATACCAGCATTCCTACTTCAAGCAACCATCATGTCCCAGCTAGCCTGACCACTAGTTTCCCACATTCACTCTTGATCTCTTTCAAATTAATTTCTACAGTAGAGCTATATATAATGATTGTATATATATATATGTATCAATCCACATATCCTTACACACATACACACACATATGCAAGATTAGGTTATCCCTTGCTCAAAACTCTTCAACTGTCTCCTCTTGGCTCATAAAATAAACCCAAGCATCTAGAAGGCCCTTGATTAGCAGCTCCTGCCTACTCTCTACTATCACCTCCTGCCTCTCCCTCTGCCTCCTCCCCATGCCTTCTGTGTGAAAGCAACATGCTCTTTCCTGCCTCAAAATCCTCTGCACGTTTCCATGACTGGAACACTCTTTCCCTCCACCCTCACCTAGATGACTCCTACATAAACTCTGGATCTTCAGCTTTCAGGGGACATTTCGTGAAGCCCACTCCTTTCCCACTACCCTCAAGTCTAAATAAGCTTCCTGCGCTTTTTCCTTCAGAGCACATAAGGCAGCTTTACTATATATTTAGTTGAGAGACGATTTATGTAAGGGCCATCTCCTGCCCCAGACTGTAAGATCTGTGACAATGGGGACATTCTCTATTCTGTTCACTGCTCAATTCCCAGTATTACAACACAGTGATGCAAAGGTGCTCAGTGAATTCTTGCTGGATGAAAAGCTGGATCCAATGATGTGTTTGGGACCATATGAAGCCACAAGAACAGTTACAAGATACAACCCTGCCTCCCAGTCGGTCCCATGTTAAGAACAACATACACACAATGTTTTAAAAAAAAAAATAGCTATATAGAAAAACACGTTGGCAATTCCTCAAAAAGTTAAGCACCGAGCTACCATGACCCAGAAATTCCACACCTAAGTATACATCCGAGAGAACCAAAAACATATGTTCACAGGAGAACTTGTACACAAATATTTATTGTAGCATTATTCACAATAGCCAAAAAGTAGAAACCACCCAAATTCCATCAATTAATGAACAGTTAAATAAAATGGGGTACACCCAAATGATGGAATATTATTCAGTCATAAAAAGGA